GTGCGTGGTACACACGGATCTTTGTGGCGATGGAGGTGTCACTTCGGATCCATAGGCGCTTTCGGAAGATTAAGAAAACCCGGCGGGCGACGTCGATTTAATAGACAAAGTCGTCCTTACGCTGTCCATTCGGCAGCGAAGTCCATAAAGCAGACGGCCATCAGTTGCTGCTAACCATGGCGGAATTCCAGAATGCACTTCAGTGTAAATATCTGGTCTACGCATCTACACCCACCTCAGAATCCAGCTTGGTTGGGCTTCGTCTTAGAGTCTCGTACAGACTAGGATCAGCCATTTTTGCTGAAAATTCAGGTTTGTAAAATCCTCAATATAGCATTCTTTTTCTTTCTCTCTTCTCTTTTCTAAAGACCTTCACTCTCCTCTCCTAATAGTCGTCGTGAGCATGGTAAATCAAGGTCGACCAACCAGCTCGGCGAAGTTAATAGGTTTAGATTGCTCGGGTGGGGGCGGCAAGTACGAGGTTATTTTTCATGTAGTATCTTCGCAGGGGCTCTCTATCTTGGAGACAAAATAACATAGGTTTTCTTGTTGCAGCTGAAAATAGTCATAAGAACGAACTAGCTCCGTCGACCATAACTTGGTCTTCAGGTGCTTGTGAGTTAATACAGTAGCAAACATGTGCAGATTTTCACAGAATTCTGTGTTACAGCAAAACGGTTGAATAAACCACAACGCCAATGGTTTTACGGATATGACCTATGAGCTTGCCGTTATTTCTGGAAAAGGAGGGCACCGGATAAGTGTGAACTGATAATTATCCAATAAAATACGCTGGGATCAAATTAGAGCTTTAGTTTTGAGTTGTCATAAACGTCGGAAGGAAATTTTAAATAAGATCTATTAACGCAATTAAGTTAGCTGGGTTCGCTATTTCTTCAAACCGAGCCAGTAAATACATTTATTTAAATTTGGTGCGTCACCTATCTTAGTCTGTTTGCAATGATAGCTGTTAAATTTCAAGGACAATAATGGGAAAATAAAACACGGGCCAAAGGTGTACCTGGTTTCGTGTGTATGGATATCCAATTTTGCTCATAAACAGAATGTGATCAACCATTTTTTTCTCCTCTTCAAAAGTGAAGAACGTAGGTGGGCCCGGTCGCGAACACTCAAGGCTGACGCGCCCATGTACTCGGTCACGAAGAGTCGATTCAGGAACATTGAAGGCAGTTGCAGCACCACGAAGAGACATACCCTGGTACTTCACCGCGTTGTAAGCATTAGTCATATCCCGCTGAGTCCAGCGGCGTCTACGAGACTATTTCAAATAACGTTTAATAAGAGATACGAACTTTTTGTTTGGTAATGCTAGGACGCGTACTTATGGTCCCGAAGTTTCGGTACAAGATAACTTGTTGTCGATAAGCCTCTGGCATTATATCCATGTCTTCATCATGTTCTTCTCCTTCCAAAGCATCATCGGAGCATGAATACTCTTCTTCAACCAGCATGCTGCTGTCTAGGCAGTAAAGTGATGATTGTGGGAATGTCGGCGATATGTAGGCCCAAGGTGGCTAAAATGAACGAGAAAATTAGCATTCAAGATGGGTTGAAATTAGAAAGCATCCGAAAACGGATGGAAAAACGAAACACAAATGACATGGACATTTACGAAGGTGCTACATAAAATAAAGACCATCGAAAAGGTTGCCAGGGGCAGCAGCAAGACGTGGCAAATGGTGCTCGTTACTATTCTGAATAACTTTAACAACGGCACGCCAAGAAACATGATCTTGTACTGCAGCGCATCGAAAAACTTACATCGGTAAAAGCTGAATGATGTCAGCTGTTCAGGATTAGAAAAATGTAAAATAAACATACGTACTGTTCACAGTATTTCAGCGGATTCTTTGCATTTATTCTAGGCGTACGTGCGATGCTCTTAAAATGGTTATACCATAACTTAAGGGATATTCTCAGGTTAAGGTGAGCTTCTTTAAATACTTAGTTTGCAAAGTAGTTGAGGGCTACTTAAAAAAAATCAGTATGAAGACAGAACTCTATGAAGGTATGTCTAACTTACGGCAAGTTGTAAAATATTCCTATAGGGCACGAATACCCCCACATGTCTGTCTTAGCACGTTACACTAGGCTAAACTGGACAGATATGCAGGGTTTCTTTCTTCTAAGCCTAAGCATAACAAAGTCTGGAACAAGTAAACCAAGCGCCTCCGCGACAAAGTGACCAAGCCGTTATGACTAAGACCGACTTGCTTGAAGATTAAGAAAGGCATACCTTGAAATGGCTAAATCTGAAATCATCTAAACAAAGCAGGGGCTTTTGAAGAACCAATTGTACAACGATGACTGAGGCGGTTCGG